GTATGGATCCTGTCAGAGAAGGTCCCTTGTGAGTTGCATCTCACTTTTAAGGAGGTGTTAAATTTCTGAATCAAAAGTAAACCCCAAAAAAAAAAAAGAAGCACCTTGTGATACTTAAATTTTTTAGTGTCTCCCATAAAATAGTTCCAGACAAAGGCAAATATGAAGTTTAGGAATCCATGTATTTAGTGGATGTCATTTTCTGAATATAATTCTGTATGAAATGGTGCAATACAAGAATTTCCTTCTAATCTTGAAGCATACAGTTTAGGTGCTTGGCATATAATTTGCTAAGCACACTCAGAAGACTATGGGCCTATAAGAGGGCAGATTTTTCTCATTATCCTTTTTGTGTTTTGGTACTATAATTGCTAGCCCCCAACCTTCAGGATATGATTTGTTTGATTGAGATGCAAACCTGGGCTAACTAGTGGAACTAGTCCTCCTCCAGGTCTCCACACTCCGTGTGTGGCATTGCCATATAAGCCATAATACAAAATCCATCCATCTCTAACTTAAATGTAGCCCACGTTTCCTGCAATTAAAGGAGATCACATTTGGAGTGGAACTTAACCCAAAAAGGTGGTCTTTGGGACTGACTGGCCAGCCTGCAATGTTCCATGAGATGAGGATGAGAGGGCTGGCTTTGGGGAAGATATCATGATACCTGCTTTTGTGGAGTTACATTTGAGGTGTTAAATTTTGGCTTGAGAGTGTTCCTCCTGTAAGGCAGTGAGATGCCTTTCCTCCCCCTTGATTACAAAGAGGAGAAGCAGGGAAATGTGTCTCCCAGGTCAAGTGACTGCAATGAGTTCACTGGACCAAGTAGATGGTATACTCCCTGGAGGGCATCCTACAATTTGATCCATCTGGGTCAAATTCAGCATTTTGGAGGTACAATGTTCCTGCCGATTCCCTTCAGAGTACCTAGCATCCTGAGTACTGGCAGAGCTTTATGGCATCATTAACATGCCATGACACCCACCCACCTACAATTATCTCTTTTACCCAGATAAAGGCCATCTCCCCATGAATGACTTATCATACCTTCATACCGTCCCCAATCTATCCTGCTGTAAAGTCTGCCCCACTTACTCTTATTTTGTCACACAAAGGTTGGAAAACCCTGGAACATGCTGTGAGACTCTAGGTGGGAAATGACTGATGTATGTTGTGGAAAGAGGGCCACGGAGTGTGAAAATATGTTGGTGCCAGTAGTGGGGAAGAAGGGAGAGTGGGGAGATGCAACCAAAGGAGGCAGACAGAGGCTGCCATAGTGGGAGGTGAAGCAGCAGCTGTACAAGCCAGGGTGGAGGGAGGAAGTTTCCTCATCTGTCCAGGGCCCCAACTACAGATGGGAAATCAAGAGACCTCCTCCTCCTCCTGGTGCTTTGACAGTGCATTAGTGGAATTAATGTATTGCTTCCTTTAAAGTAGGTGGGAAGTCGGGGCAACAATACAGCTTACAAAGCTGCCTTCAATCATGCAAAGAAGTCAACATACAATTCACATTTGGAGAAAAAGAATATTTCAGGGCAGCTACCAAATGCTGTGCCATGGACAACTGCAATACTATTCCTGACGGTATGTGGGGTCAGTCAAGGACTGTGAGTCATGCAATAATAATTCTGCAAGGCAGATAAGGCCTGGAAGCCCAATATTGTGGTGGTGTTGAACCTTTTATCAGAAGGCAAACTCACAATTATTTTCTCAGAAGGCAAACTCACAAATATTTCTATTAACCCTTCAAGCTGCCACATACTACGCAGAATTCTGGCTTCCTCTTTGCTTTTTCTTGCCTTCCAAACTAAGCCCCCGGCTGCGGTCATTCAGCATTTTTATTTTTCAAGAAGTAGGACTCAGAGGCATCCTTCTTAATGAAGAGGAAATAAAAGACACCCCCTGAGGTAGGGGTGGGAAAGGTTTGGTCTCTATTTAAGGGGTTAAAATTAAAAATAATATTTAAAAAGCTCAGGTGGGGCCAGGATTTTGGCAATCCGTGGGTATCA